GTAGTACAGCTATGGAGTATCTGCGTAGTCTTGTCAGCTTCATGGTATTCTTGCTGCTATATGCTTGACGTGGATGGAAGTCACCTGCTGTAAGGCACTCCTTAGCCGCTGCGTAAAGTGGGGTAGTTCTGGTTTGGTGGTTATCGTTGATTGGTGTATCCCATAGCGGGAGTGGATACTGTCGCCTAGGGTTGCAGATTGTGCTTGCAGTACTGGGTCCTGGATCTTGGTCAGATCATAAGGTGGAGGCTGTTTATGTGCTGTGACTTGATGTGATGTTCCTCCTCCACCTCCTCATCCTCCTGCTCATCATCATTATCCTCCTCCTCACCCTCCTCATTATCAGCATCGTAGTCATCACCATCATCGTCATCATCATCATCGTCATCATCATCATCATCATCATCATCATCATCGAGAGAGAGCGTGATCCACCGCCGCTTTACTGTGGAAAATTCCCCCCCTCTTCCTCCGGAACCCGGGGGTCCCCCCCACCCCCCCGAAAATCCCCCCCCTGCTGGAACCCCCCCCCACTCCCCTCCCCCGGCAAAACCCCCCCCCCTCCCCTAACCCCCCCCCTCCCCCTCGAAAACCGAGGGGGGTCACTACCCGTTCGAACCCCCCCCCCCCCCCTCGAAAACCGGAGGGGGTCACTACCGGTTCGAACCCCTCCTCCCCCCCCTCACCGCCAGCAAACGACTCCCGGTCCCTACCACCGTCCGCACCACATCCCCCACTGTTGTTCCCAGCACCACTGTCCTCACCACCACTGTCCCCACTGGTTCCACCACCGTCCCTACTGTCCCCACCAGTGCCCCCACCACTGTCGCACTGTCCCCACTGTCCCCACCACTGTTCCCACCACGGTTCCACTCTCCCCACTTTCTCCACGGCCCCAACCACTGCCCGACTATCCCCACTGTCCCCACTGTCCCACTGACTCCTCCGCTGTCCCACTGAGCTGTCCCACTGTTCCCACCACTGTCCCCACTGTCCCCACCACTGTCCCCACTGTACCTCTGTCCCATTGTCCCACCGCCGTCCTCGCCACCGCCTTCACCACTGTCCCCACCACCACTGTACCCTCCACTGTTCCATTTTTTCCACCACATTCCCAGTGTCCCCACACCACTGTCCCCATCACCACCGTCCCCACCACTGTCCCTCTGTCCCCACTGTTCCCACCATTGTCATCACCACGGTCCCCACCACCACCGTCCCCACCACTGTCCCACTGTCCCCACCACTGTCCCGCTGTCCCCTCACCCCTGTCCCCACCACCACCGTCCCCACCACTGTCCGCATCCCCCCCCCCGGTTTTCGAGGCGGGGGGGGGGTTCGAACCGGTAGTGACCCCCCCCCGGTTTTCCGCCAGCAGCGGTAGAACACGCTCTTTCTCGTCATCATCATCATCATCATCATCATCATCGTCATCATCATCATTATCATCATCATCATCAGCATCATCATCATCAGCATCATCATCATCATCATCATCATCATCATCATCATCATCATCATCAAGATCATCATCATCACTATCTTTCTTCCCCTACTGCCCCTCCTCCACCTGCTGTTCCTTCTCCTCGCTTTCCTCCAAGTTTTTATCCACCTCCTGGGGTGGGAGGAGACGCTCCTCGCGCCCTCCCCCCCCCCGTCCGCCCCAGGTACGTGGGCAATCGGGCCGCCGTCTTCCCGCTGCAGCTGCTCGGGTTCGAGGCTCCCTGCAGAGTGTACTTGTGCACTGCACCACGACCACCACCTCCGCGCCTTGCAAGGGCCGCCTCTTGGGGTCCTAAGGCTGGCCGCGCCCACGACGAATGGGTTTTGCCAGTTTGCGGCCTCGGGGGGGGGCCCCTTTCCGTGCCTGAGGGCCGCATCTTCGCGTTGTGAAGATGTCACGACGGAAGGTGATTTGCAATTTTCGGTCTCCGGGGGCCCTTTCCGGGCCCCTGGGCCGTCAGGAAACGCTGTGAGGACGGAAAGCCGATCCCCAGGGGGAAGGGGTCCAGACCTCTGGGGCGCCTCTTTGCGAAACAGTCACGGCATCGGATGTCTGGCCGGTGTCACACCCTGGAGCCCGAAGGTTCGAGGGAGAGGCAAAATGTATGAACATATACTCTTGGAGGTCCGCGCGGATTTCTTGGACTGGCGCTGGACACGGCTCCCTGGTGCGCGGGGCAGCCCAGGGGCTGCGCCGCCAGGGGGGGTCCAGCGCAGATTCTAGAAATCCGCGCTGACCTCCGCAAGTTTCGTCTCATGCCATTTGTCACTTCCTCTGCGGAAGGGTTCTGGCTTTTGCTCCTCCTCCTCCCCCTCCTCCTCCTTTTTACGTGAGGCGAACATTAGGTGAGAACATGTTGCTTTCTTGAACTGGTGCGAGATAAAACAGAGCCCGACTCGGGGCACAGAGTACCGGGCGGGCGCCGCAGGAACAGCTGTAGGAAAAGGGGGGCGGAAATTGTAGAAGAACAGAGTAGGCGCCCACCAGGTACGAGAGGCCAGCGTACCTTAGTAGTAAGACTCCCCCCAGTACAAGTAGAGTAGCGCTAAGCCCCTTCAGATTCATTGGTACGCGCTGTTTCATACCACAGGTAAAAACAGCAAGACAAGTACGGCGCAGTAGCCAGGTAAGAGCTGATGAGCTTACGCTGCCAGAAGAAAACGCAGGCGAGGGTTGGCAGCGTGCCAGAAACGTGAGACTAAAGATGCTGAGTGCAAGCTTGGTGGCAATTCTTGGGCTGCTGCCCAGGGTTTTTGGGTTTACCCCTAACCACCTGAGCCTGGGGCCGCGTGCTTTTTGCCAGTTCTTTTCGGATTTAGCACGAACCCTTTGTGTCTGCTGACTGTAGGCTGGCGCGTGGGTGGCTGGCCTGGTAGACTCTCCTCACTGTCGGTGGGAGGTCAAGGCTGGCCCAGTGGGCTGGCCTGTAGCGAGGCGTAAACACTGGGAGCAGCTACTGTAGTGCGATACCGTGAGGGCAAGCGTTCCTCCTCCCCCACACCTTCATCCTCCCCCTCCTCCTCCCCACGCCTCCGTAGAGGAAGAACACGCATGTTACACAAGACAACGAGTTGCGGCAACAAATCGTAGGACGACGCGCCAAATGCGCGCCGGAGTGAGAGTTGCAACGGCGCTGGCTGCTTTTATCCTCCACCTCCTCCACCGAACCGCTGAAGATGAAAAAACAGCGAGGTACGAGCCATGCATGTTACATAAGGCAACGAGCTGTGGCAGAAATTCGTAGGACGACGCGCCAAATGCGCGCCGGAGTGAGTGTTGTAACGGCGCTGGCAGTTTTTATCCTCCTCCACCTTCACCAAACCGCTGAAGATGAACAAGCAATGATGTGACAAACGCATGCAAGTAAACGAGTGGCAGAGAGAGAGAGAGAGAACATACGCGCGCGATGAAGGGTGAGCGTACTACACAAGCTACACAAGACAACGACCGAGGCAGCACGTGCGACCGTGAGAGAACAAACGCGCGAGATGAAAGATGTGCGCACCACGTATGTTACACAGGACAAATCGAGACAGCATGTGTGTGAGGTCAACAAAACATGGCCTTTCGAAGCGCGGCATGGAGAACTGAAACGTCAGATGTAGAATGATTGGCTGTGAGAGTTGTGGCAGAAACCATACGAGCTATAATTGCTCAAGCAAAAGGTTCCTCTTATGATTTGATGAGACCAGCAATGTAGTTAATATGTTCGTCCTAAATCATAGCCTGAGGCATGTCCGCAATGACATCTGCAACAATTAACACTTCCTGGGGACGTGTCCAATGCATGAGGCGCGTCTGTAGCAGAATCTGCAACAGTAGCCAATGCTTGAGGCGTGTTTGCAACATGATCGATTCCAGTTAAGTGAATGCGCTCAGGCGGCTCTGAGCCCATGGCAACTGTGTCCGCCGATTTGTCAATTCTGTATTTACCTGCTGGAGCTGTTGTAGATCGCATCGGCGCCTGTTGGTTGAAATGTATGATGCGGCTGCGTGTGCCGAAGCCATGACCAACGTGACTGCCGGATGGCACCCAGCCCAAACATGAAAAGAGTGAAAATATAGCCGCGTGCGTCACACCATGTTCTTCCATTTATGTTGTACATGTTCTGACGGGTTGATTAAAGGTGTAGCAGACGATGTTGTACATTGGTCAATTGCGCTGACACCAACAGGTCGGCACTGCAGGCCAACTGCGCTGACACCAACATATTGGCACTGCATGTTCGACTCGATTGCATCTGCTGGAAAATACAGTGGCTTGGGCACCTCTTCCACCATGTACTGGGGTGGCGGCGGTGGATCAGGCAAACGTATGTAGAAACAACTGACCAGGATATATTGTAGGAGGTATAACTAAGGGTTACTGCCTGTGGTCCCAGTCGTCCATGTTGTTTTTCGGTACAAGCTTAGGCGCAAATTTGTCAAGACCCTGCAACGATACTCATATATGTTGCGCCGTCATGGTTTGCTTTTAGTTTGACGGATTCGCCAACAAGTTGAAAGAGATCGTGCGTGAGAGAACTGTGAATGCGCTGTTCTAGCGGCGTAGCCAAGCCTTTTACATTGTTCGTTAAAGCCTGTAGAAGGAGAGCGAGAAGCAAGAGGAGTAGCATTGGGATATGTGCAAGCCATGCAAGCAGGGCCTCTGAAAGCTAAACAGCGAAGCGATCCAGGATACGTTTTCGGTGATCGCGGGCGACCGAAGCCCACCTGAGGACCGGCCGCCGCGCTTGACACCAGCACGCGCCTGAATCGCTCGGGCAGGCCGCGGCTTCCTCCTCATCCTCCTCGTCCTCGTCTTCCTTCTCCCCCTCCTTCTCCTCCTCCTCCTCGTCCTCAAGCCCCTCCCACTCCTCCTCCCCCTCGCCGTCCTCCTCCTCCTCCTCCTCCTCCTCCTCTTCCTCCTCCTCCTCCTCCTCCTCTTCCTCCTCCTTCTCCTCCTCCTCCTCCTCCTCCTCCTCCTCCCCCGCCTCCCTCCCTCCCTCCCTCCCTCCCTCCATCCCTCCTCTTCCTCACTCCTCCCCTCCTCCCCATGCCCCCTACGGAGAGGTGGACGTTATCAACTCCGTGCAGTTCTCGTGCCACACCGGCTACCCCAGGCCCCCCCGGGGGCGGCAGGGCCTCCGAGAGACGAGCGCGGGAGTGGGCAGCGGGGTGGCGGGTGGCCTCTGGTGTGTGTCGTGACAGGGGTGGAGGACGGAGGAGGGGGGAGGACGGAGGAGGGGGAAGGAGGAGGAGGAGGAAGAGGAGGAAGAGGAGGACGAGGAGGAGGAGGAGGAGGACGAGTGGAGGAGGAGGAGGAGGAGGAGGAGGAGGAGGGGAGGAGGAGGAGGAGGGGGGGAGGAGGGAGGAGGGGGAGGAGGAGGGGGAGGAGGAGGAGGAGGAGGAGGAGGAGCTTTCAGGGCTTTCCGCCTCTCGCAGGTGCGAGTCTGGCCCCGCGCTCCCGCGCGCGGGGCTCCGCTCAAGGGCCGCGGGCCTGGGCCCCGCCCTTTCTCCGAGCGCGTCTGGCGGAGGCGCTCGGAGCCGTCTACATGGGCCGCGCCCTGAGGCCGCCCTTTCTCCGCGCGCATCTTGCGGAGGCGCGCGGAGCCTTGGCAAGCCGACTTGGCGAGCTGCGGCCTCTGCAGGTGGGAGCGGGCCCACGCGCGTGGGCGCGTGGGCCCTCGGGGTCGGCCTCCCTCTCGCCGTCGGGCTGGCCGAGGTGGTTCGCGTCGTCGTAGCGCCCGTGCCCTCTTCGAGGGCCACCCCCGACGTGGGGGTGCCCGAGGGTGGGCCTCCTCGGCCTGCTCCAGCTTCAGGTGTGTGGTGCGGTAAGTGCGCAGGCCGAGGGTCCTCGCCAGCCTGAAGGAGCGGTGCCTCGTCCTCCTCGATGGCGCGTGAGCTTCGTATCTGCATCATGATGGCCTGCTGCAGGAGGGTGTTCGTGTCGGGGAGCTGTAGACGGCTTCTCCTTCTGCTGGTTGCACTTGCCGCCACTCGTGTTCTGCATCTGGCCGTAGGACTGGTGCTCTGGGTCGAACATGTGCCCAACCCCGAGGAGCGGGCCAGTTGGGCATTCATACCTTGTCCAGGGCCGCGCCCTGAGGCCGCCCTTTCTCCGCGCGCGTCTAGCGGAGGCGCGCGGAGCCGTGGTTCACCTTCTGGTCGTGCTGTTGATTCCCCTGGAGGTGGCGGGCCCACGCGTAGTGGCGCGTGGGCCCTCGGGGTCGGACCTGCTCTCGCCGTTGGGCTGGCCGAGCGGGTTCGCGTCGTCGTAGCGCCCGAGCTCTCTCCTGAGGTCTCCCCTGATGTGTGGGTGCCCAAGGGTGAGTCTCCTCGATTTGCTTCAGCTTCAGGCTCTGGCTCAGGAGGGTGAGCAGGCCGCGGGTCTTCGTCTATTCGGAGGAGCGGCTCTTCATCCTCCTCGATGGCGCGGGTACTTCGTATTTGCATCATGATGGCCTGCTGCAGGAGCGCTCTCGTGTCTGGGAGTTGGGTACGGCTTCTCCTTCTTCTGGTTGCTTTCTCCGCTGCCGCTCGTGAGCTGTGAGTGGTCTCTGCGTTCTGATTCCCCAGGTGGTCGATACCCTCTACTCTCGATGGCCCTTGGGCTGCGGGCGAGCAGTGCGTGCCACCTGAGGCAGATCCAGCAGCATGGCGACGACTGAGCATCTGCGATGCAGCGTTCTGACTCCCCAGGTGGTCGGTACCCTCAACCCTCAACGGCCTTTCGGCTGCGGGCGAGCAGTGCGTGCCACCTGGGGCAGGTCCAGCATCGTGGCGACGTATGCGCGTCTGTGATGCTGGACTGGTACTCTGCGTCGCACATGTGCCCAACCCCGAGGAGCGGGCCAGTTGGGCATGCTCGGTATCTGCCTCACGCCCATCCACAGTCTCCTCAGTCTTCTCCTCCGCTGCCTTCTTGAGCCAGTTTAGTAATTTGTATTTGAGGCTGCTGTACGCCGGCTTTCCTTTGCACTCACTCCTCATCTTGTCCGATATATACTCCGTGGAGGTGGCGCCGCATTCCTTGCAGAACCAACGCTTCTCAGCACGCAGGAAGATGAGAGGGTGCGATGCGTGTGTGGTCATTCCATTTTGTGTTAGCTCCGTGCCTTCCTTGGGTGGCGGCCCTTGGCAGCCGTCCCCAAACCACTTCACGAGTGTCTGGAAGGGGGTGTGCTTGTCGATCTCCTGTTCACAGCACGTGCACTTCCACCCTTTACCTTTTCTTGGGCGTATGAGTCGATGCGTTGGCGGTGGCCTTCTCCCAACTGGTGCAGGTGGTCCGTCCGCCAGGTAACCTCGTCGCCGTCGTATTTGTTTGTTCGCCTCTTGTCGCTGTTGACTTCTCTGTGCCCGTACTTCGTGTCCGTCGCCTGGCCGTCGTTGTATGAGGTCTTTGGTTGCTGCAATAATTCTTCGTCGTACTAGGGCTGCCGTCGAGTTGACCCATTCGTAGCAACCCATCTGCGCGGAGTCTATGTCGTGGTTCTCTGCGGCTGCGTCGGCGAAGCGATCTGCTTGGCCGTTACCATACCAAGCGTGTCGAGGGAACCCTTTAGCCTCCGCATCCTCCCAGGAGAGGTGGCTGTTGATGTGGTGTAGCTGAATACTTTCCACTCCGCCCCGCATCTCCAGCTCCTGCCCGATCTGCTGCCACAGGTCGCCGTTGGTGCCGACTTCGCCGCATTTCTCGAACCTTCTGTTGTGCCAGCCTTTATACACCACCTCGCTGTCCGTCCAGAAGTGTAGTGCCCCTGCCGTGCTACGTAAACAACTGAGAAGGGCCCACAGCTCCGCTCTATTGTTGGTTTGGCGGCGGCCTGGGAGGGGTCCAAATTGTCCAGCTGCGAGTTCGTAGCCGTCACCTTGCTGCCGTAGTCGTACCCATGCCCAGCCACACCGCCTGTATCTCCAATCTGCGCTGTTCTTCCCACCAAATCCATCTCCGCACGCTACGATCGGGGAGCCGTCCTCCGTGGTGATGCGCCCTTCTTGGAGGCACTCGCCCATGTTGTTGGCCTGTTCCTCCGTGTCGCAATCTGGTGGTACTGACCATGCCCGTGGGGTTATACCCCTCAGCCAAAACGCAGGTACTGCTTCGTGCCCAGCTTCCGCCCTGGTCTTTAGTAGGTCGGTGGTGTCGAAGGCTTTGTCACATGTCCGTGCATCACATTGTCCCCATATTCTGTGGTAATCCGTCTCTTCGTGTCCGCATTCACATTGAGCCGATCCTTTTCCAAAGCATGCTCTCTTCCTAGCTCTTGTCCATGTCCCTGCGCACGTCGCGATCAGGAGCGCACCGTGCTCTTGGTAGTTGCCCCGTCGCAGGAGCCATTCAAGATGTTTCCTGAGGTCTGTGATATCTGCACCGCTATGCTCGAGGCCTCCTCCGTTGTGGTGTTCTGCTGCTTTACGCCATAGAAGTAAGGATACGTCCATCATCAGCGCGTCCAGGATGTCGGTTGGGTCACCCTGCTCGCCGTGTAGGGGGAACTTCCATTGGTTTCCTCCGCTGTCCAGCCAGATGTCGGGCCCTCGTGAGTCCCATCCGATCTCCCACAATGTCAGGATGAGTGATGCCACAGGTCCACGCCTCTGTCGCCATCTTTTGTGTTCTGGCAGTCGGAGTAGTCGAAAGTATATTCTCGGCCATGCTCGTCTTACTTGCTCGCGGAGGTCGGGACTGTGGCTCCAGCAACTGAACCAATGGCTGAATTGTCCCTTCATGATCGTGTAGGCTGGGTCCGTACCTTCAACTGCTAAGTATGTAGTTAGACAACGCCCTGGCCATGGTCTTCTGAGCGCTTGTGCATATCGTCGCCGTGCGAGTTGGAGAGCAGTCGGAGCCATGCCGTCGAATGCCGTACCGTACTTTACTGATGCCATGGCTCCCTGCTGAGTGATTCCTGCTCGCTTACGTACTCGTAGTCTTCGTAGTTTCCTGCCGACCGCTCCAAGCCGTCTTCTCACTCCTTTCCAGCGTGCTCCGTGAGTCGGTCTGGCGGAGGTGCCTCGTACAGCTCTGTCCGCGCCCAGATCTCGACCTTCGGTGTTGATCTTGATGGTCACGTTTGCCGTCTTGAGCTGCTTCTGAATCTTCTTAGCGTCGTTGTAGCTTGTTGCTAGCAACGTAGTTTTATCTGCCAGTTTTAGCCCTTGTTCCCCCAGTGCCAGGAATAGTGCCTTTGTGCTCTCAACCGTGGCCGTGATGATCTGTCTTCTGCTGCCCACAATGCGTATACTGATATCGTCGAACCATGCCCGCGGGATAGGTCGAGGTAAGCACGTGGTGCCTGTGAGCTTTGCCATGGCTGCGTATACCACCGTCTTGGCCACGTTGTTCGCATGTCTGGAGCCTGCTAAAATCGATTTGTCGGGAAGGACCGGCTCCGAGAAGGCGCCGTGGCATCGCAGGACTCTGGTAGCTGAATGCTGGGGCATCATGAGGTATAACGGCTTTGCTGGGAAGTTCATCTGCAATGCCGCGGGTACCACTTTGTCGATTCTCAAGCTGTCGTAGAACTTTTCTATGTCTGCCAGCAATACCGTTTCCCATATATCCAACGCGTCTGCGCACTCGTCCGTGATGAGTCTCCTGAGCGCTTCCCTCAAGCAGCTGTTGCCTGCGATTGCCGCATCCCATTCTCTCTCATGCTCTCGCGCCCATTGCCGTACTCTGTTTCTGTGCAGTAGCTCCCAGCACCGAAACAATGGAGGTAGCAATGCAAGTGCTCTATCTCCTTTGCTTGGTTTCGGCATAACCATCACCACTGAGAGCAACAACTGCCACGGCCAGGTAAGATCCCGCTCACATTGATTGAGGAGGCTGATAAGAGTCTGCTTCCCTGCGGTGGGTAATCTTCTCAGGTCCGTCGGGCAGATCATGTCCACTCCCTTTCCCTTGTCGGGTTCGCCTTTCAAGCACCTGATCAGGTCCTCGATGGTCCAGGGGTCGTGATCATCGTCTTCTCGCGCAGCTCGCCTGAGTTCTTTCAAGTAACCTTCATGTGAAGTATGTGGTACTTCTTCGCATGCCCATATCTTTTGAAAATCAACAGCTTTCTGGTCGACCATATCATTCGGGCTGCATACGGTGCCGCTTACAGTATGTATC